AGTGAGTGTGAAATCTACTTTCTGTACTTGAGATGACCTTAGACCTAGACAATGTTGTATTTGGGCATACGATGGATTCAATAGAATATGCATGCTGATCTGATTCCCAACCACTTTCAATGCTTACTCCCTTCTCTCTACGAACATCATAACTAACAACTTTGCTACTTTAGTTTTATTTGAACAATAATTTCATTATCTCTTCACTGTTCTCCAAAATCTATGTATTGTCAACTTTAATTTCAACTCCTCATATCCCTATGCCAGGACTTCTCCTCTTCTGCCACCATCAACTCATCACTGTTTCAAGTGCAGCATCAATGTTTAGTTCTGAGACCTCTTTGGTTTCTTGTACCACACTTTATTTTTCCCCTTTAACTGACCAGTCTGTACATGGTTCTTCCCTGTGAATGATGTACTAGGTACCCATTGTAGTCTTGATTTATACAACACTCTCCATTCCCTAAAGTGTATATTGTTTATTAAACTAATATTCTCCCAATACATGTAATGTTAGCCGCATTATCCCATAGATCTGTTCTTGAAACTTGTGGTTTTCCATCTAGTATTTTTCAAAGTCTACATTATATCACCTTGCAACTTTTTGTCTTATACAGCTATCGCATACTTCAAATATCTTATTTTCATCTAAATGCCCTTTACATTGTATGAATTTTTCAGGTTTCATCTAGCTTGTAATCTGTCATACAAGTCGTTTCTAATGACTTCAAGGAGTTTGTTGCTCAATGTATTTTAACTCTATAAAATTATAGAATTTGTAATATAAAGCTATTGCAAATCAGTTTTTAACTAGTTTGTTAATTAAGTGATATTGATTGATCACTCCTGAGCATACCTAATATTGCTAATTGATTAGTGTGTAAACCTGATATTGTTAGTAACACTAATTGATATTGAACAAATTTTAATATTGAGTAAATTGGAGTTGGTCTCACATGTCCAGGCATGTCACAAAACATAGGCCTGGATGTGTCTCAGATGAATTTGGGCATAAGATGACACTGCATGAGTTGACAGGGTCAGTCTAGGTGCAGGACCTGGAATATGCCCAGAGATAAGCTAACCGCACTGACGTGACATGTCATGGGTGGTCCTGAACAGCCTGGCCAGCTGCCAGTCCCATCCAATGCTCGTGACATGTCTTTGCTGGGCTGCCTTAATAAGTGAATCTAAGGTGGACCAGTACAGACTGCCCACCCTTGTAAAAGTTATAAAAGACGAGGAAATGTGTCACTTGGATGGGAGCTAACAACTTGTATTGTGGACACGTGGTGCTGTTCTCTACTGTTTTCCCAGCAGAGAGGGTCCCTCCAGCCTGACTGCCAGAGTTCCCCCCAGTCATGTACAGCAGAGTGACAATGAACTTCTTATAGTGATGTATTTTAAGCTGTCTGATTTAATCTGAATGCATGCACAACTATTAGATACATCTTAAGTTGAGACTAATTTGGATACCTGTGTAAACAATAGTGTGATGTGAATTCTTGGTCTGTGTGATTTCACTTGCCTAGCTCTCAACCTACTCATCCCGAACAGGGCAGTGTGACTGTCAGTATCGCTATAAACCTTATTAGGTGAAAATCGTTTTTGGGTACTGATGCTTCATGAATTTAATGATTAGGCACAACCATTAACAAGCTGCGTTGCAGCATGATAAATAGCCTCACTGTCTATCACTTTAATATAATCAAAATAAAGCCTGAATTTAATCACTACTTTTCAGAACACTTTGCTAAAGATCCCACCATTCCATGAAAGGATTTTTCTGAAATAACTTTGCAATCAACCATTTTAGAGAAGGGGAAATTATGTCCTGCAGTTTTTGAGATTGCTTGTGTGTGTATATATAACTCCCTTCTGTCCTTTCTGCTTGTAGATCTCAAACTGGTTTATAAATGCCCGCCGTCGTATTTTACCTGATTTACTAATCGTGAAAGGAATAGATCCTGTCCAGCTTGGATTTTATATAAAAGTAAACCGGAAAAAGACAATGTTTCAACAATCTCCAAAAAGCAATCTAATGGTTTCCACTCCTTTACAGCCTACGTGTGTAGTTACTGCAGTACCTCAGATCATGCATGGATTCTCACCTCTTAATTTGTTGGCTAAAGTTAGTCATGATATCTTATTTCAAAATATGACTGAAGAATGTAGCCAGTTGGGCTACACATGCGGGAATGCCCAGAGCTCTAAAGGTGATGTTGTAAATCAGCCATATGTGACAGAAACCATACATTTAGAGGAGGAAATGAGTAGACTACAGATCCTGGCTGATGTTGCCTCACAACGTATAGAAGAAATGGAAGCTGAAAAAGGCAAAATGGAGGCTGCATTAAACCTCCTTGATCAATAGTATTGTCATAATGAAAATACAAATACCTGTCGACTCTTTATCCATGCATCAAGAGTTGGTGTCAGGGAGGGGGAGGGGGTGGGGGGGGGGAAGGAAGAGGATGGAATTGTTATGCAAAAACCTCCACTTTACTGGAACAATTCTCAATGTCCACAATTTAAAACTTGTGGACTAGAATGTGAGTCTTGCAACTGGGACCATTCTATGGGGGAGGGGGATTAATGGGGGTCTTAACTTGTGTTGGCATTTCTCCTACTTCAGATCATGGATAATTTTTGGAACAATGCAGACTAAACCTGCTTACAGTTACTGGCCTAGACACATATGGGAATGAGATTTTAATTCATATCTTGTTGTCAGTATAGGTCAAGAAAGCCTCTCTTTTGTCAACTACCTTTGACATACTTGACACCACTTTTATATGCTTTTCTGCAGAGCTTATATGAATTATGTAGCAAATGGCTAAATTAAGTATATATTGAAACTTCTGATTACTCTTGGAATCTTACGCTGCAGTTCAATTTCTTTCCGCACAATTCCCCTCTGTAAATTGGCATAAATGTGGACTTTAATATTCCTAAGATCTGTTGTACAGACATACTTTATGTTAAGGAAAAAAATCTCTAGAGCTTCATGCACTTTATTTATTTTTTTTTTTTTTGTAGAATAAATATTGTCTTCAAGAAAGATTGACTGCCTTCTTATTTGGTGACTAAAGTATTGCAAGTATTTATGGTTCCTTTTGATCAGACTTAATACCAGCTATGACCTGTATCCAGACCTAGGTCCTGGGTGCCATCTTTGTGTGGGCCAAAGAAAGGCGCTGTGGGACACATCCTGTGCCCACACTAGATAGCACTGTAAAATTACTGCGCTTATCCAGTTAAACACTTGGGAATTTGCTATTGTCCCAAATTTGGATGGCTGTTTTGTCCATTTGTTAGAAGATGGATGAATACAAATTTCAGAAGAATGGGGGGGGAGAAATATCCAGTTAAACAATGGGGGGGTAGGGGGGAGAAATACAATAGGTCCCCCTAGTGTTTTTTGAAAAGGCTGCAGGGCAGCCGATCAACAAGCGTTTGACTTGTTTGCCCTTAGAAGCCATGCATGCTAATGGCATGGCTGATTGGCCAGTGCAGCATGTGACCCAGCCTCTATATAGAAGCTGGAGTCGTGTAGCGCCGCACGCACATGAGCTCTTAGTGTAGGGAGAGGATGCTGCAGCTGTTAGGGACAGATTAGGAAAGAATTCTGCAAACTAGTACATTAGTGGGGTACACTTCATATCTGAGAGTCAAATAGAAGCATCAAATACTGCTGTCACATTGCAATTGTAAGAATTCTAATTGTTTTGGTGCTAAACTGCTAAGTAGTAAATTTGGGGCGTGCTCTTAATAACTGAGTCAAATAGAAGCATCAAATAGTGCTGTGACATAACATTTTTAAACACTAAAATGTTCTGGCTGCTAAATAGTACATTTGCGGCATGCGGTGCACTTCATATCTGAGAGTCAAATAGAACCATCAAATAGTGTGCTTTTAGCGCACTTTGAAAAATTCAAATTGTTTTGGGTGATAAAAAGTACATTTTGGGGTGTGCACTTCATATCTGACAGTCAAATAGAACCGACAAATACCAATAGAACAATATTGTAATTCGGGGGCAATATCCTCACAAGTCAAATTGCAGTGTGCAGACCGGCAAGAAGGTCAGGGTTGTGGAGTGGGTGGAGGATGATGTCTTAGACCCCCACATGGAATAAAAGGTAATGCGAGTGACATGTGCCATATGCAGGATGATGCGCTGGTCGCACAGAGGCACCAGCACAGCATAAGAGGGAGCAGGGTGCAAAAGCAGAGCTGCTGTCTCCTAGCGCTCATCGGCATGTATTTTAAGAATTCCCACAGTTATCCATGTAACAGTTGAAGCGATTAAAAAGAACAGATTTAGTGAGACCTTCGCAGTTTTGCAGTCCGGTGACTGGAACCCAGACACTGTCAGGGCCGGACTGGGGATACGAAGCAGCCCTGGAAAAAAAATCTATGCCAGTCCCATAAGTCATTGTGCTATGTAGGGTGTTTTTTTATATATACACACTTGAAATAGTTGGCTGCACTCTCGGATTTCCTTAAAATTTTACTTTTATTGAAATAGTTGAGAAGATCAATGTTTCAGTCCCTCTTGTGGACTTGCGTCATGATCCTGGGAAATTTCCCGGCATCCCGGTGGGCCAGTCTGGCCCTGAATGACCGGGACACAGTATGCCTGATGTTGAAGTTAGGAGTCAGTGTGGAATGGATTAGCAGAGTAACCGCATGCCCCCTGGTGTTGAGCACCAGCATTTGTGCGGCCATATACCAGGACCCTGATGCAGCTTCAGTAAAAAGAGTACTGGATACCAGAAGCCATCACCAGACTGATGCGCAACTTGGAACAGGATGTGACATTCACTGTAGCGGCTGTGCGCGCTTTTGTCGTTCTCACCCTGTGGGAGTGGAGTTTCAGCTGCAGCACGCACGGGTCAGTCGCTCTGCAGCAGACTTGCCCTCCAATTGATCATAGTTAAAGGATTTCAAGTGGACTCATTACAATTACAGGGCCTCTAAAGAGTCCTGTATTTGTCATCACTACCTTCCCGCGTTGGGAGTGGGTCATTTGCGCGCCCGCTGCCATCCTTGCATGTGGCAGCAGTTTCTCTGGCTCCCTCTCCGGAATCAAACCCTGATTCCCCATTACCCATGGTAGGCATCAAAAGTTGATCTGGATGACATACGAATGCGTCGTCGCCTTGTCGTTGGGGAGCCCATTGAAAAAGTGCTCTAGCATGACGAGCTGGGTGATCTCGTCCAGGAACTTGGCTTGATGGGAGTGGAGCCCGTTCTGGGTGGCCCTTGTGACTCCTTCTCCCCTTTCCGGGTCTCCCTAAACTTTCGGCGGTATTGCTCGGGGGTCACCGCATACTGGGCCAGGAGGATTTGGGTAATAAAGGGATCGTCTCTGATCTGCTCTTTGGGTACAGCCTGGTAAATATCCGCTGCCTTCCCCACTAGTTTGCTGGCCAGGATGGTGACCCACTCGGAGTCCACATCTTGGAGTAGGCACTGGCGCTCAGTCTTGTAAAAAGTCATGGATGCCTTCTGCTTCCTTGAAGGCATTGTATGGTAGCTTGTGGGCCAGGGTGGTTGTGCTTCCCAGTGCCCTATCCTTCCTTTATCTGGGTTCATGGAGGTCGCCCTCTGTCTATTGGCAAGGACATAGGCTTGCATCTCCAAAAAGGTCCTGCTGACAATCTCCTCTGATGGTGGTTCTCGGTAATATGCCAGGTGCTATTCCACCTCCTTGCGCACTTCCTCCTCATTTCTGGCCCCTGGCTGGGGTTCGTTGCCTCACTGCATGCCTGGTCATCCTCCATGAGCGCAGCAGTCAATTTGGCCTTGTTACGCCCACCAGGCGTTATTCCTCTGGCTCCACACAAGTCCTGCAGTGTAGGTCGCTTTAGAGCACTGTAGTCCGTGGGTCTGTTGGCAGGGACATGGGATCCCGCCGCTTGCCACCAATTGAAGCCGGACCTTTGATTAGAATAGGTCAGACCCATTTCCCCAGTAACTGGATGGGACACCGGATACATTTGACCATCTTTATTTGGGTACACAGCTTTGCCTCCTGTTGCCACCGCTTCCTCCTCCTCCTACCACCTCCTCATCCGGTCAGTGTAACACCTTCACCACCAACTTCAGCACAGCCAGGGGGAAACGACAGCAGGCTGTTTAAAACTCATATGTGTGGGGGGGAAAAACCCCACACAGTGCAGGAGCTGTGGACAGGCATGGAACAGATCGATGAGTGGTTGTAGCCCCTGAGCCTCAAGCCCGGCCTGGTGGTGTGCGATAATGAGCGAAATCTCGTAGCAGCTCTGGGCCTCGCCGGTTTAATGCACATCCCTTACTTGACGCATGTGCTGAATTTGGTGGTGCAGAAATTCCTGGAAAAACTACCCAGCTATATCAGAGCTGCTGCACAAAGTGCGGCCATCTGTGCCCGCTTTTGGCATTCTTACCCTGCTGCTGCTCACCTGTCTGCGCTGCAGCGTAACTTCGGCCTTCCCGCTCACCGCCTCATAAGACTGTGTGCGAGCAGAAGCAGGTGATAGTGGAGTTTCAGCAGGTCAGTTGCTGTGCGGAATTTGTTTTCTTTTTTTATTTATTTTTTTATTTTTAATACATCCCAATATTTTGGGGGCTACCCCAATTAAAAAAACAAAGTGTGTGTATAAACCGTGTTGGCTACCACCTACACTGCCATGGTCACCACCTCAACCTATGGGTCACTTAGTATAAACTATGTACACAATAGCAGAGGCTTGTGAAGGCCTTTTCTCCATGCATCAGGAGTTGAGCATTTCTCCATGCATAAGCACTGCAAGAAATGCACCGCAGGCTGCAAATGTTTCTATATATATATATATATATATATATATATATATATATATATATATATATATATATATATATATATATATATATATATATATATATATATAATCTGTCCCAATATTTTGGGAGTTACCCCAATTAAAATAAAAAAATATATATATAAAAAAAAAAACAGTGTTGGCTTCTGTGAAGAAAATATACTTGGTTTGGTATTTTCTCCTATGTTTGGGCTTTTTCTGCAGTATTTTGTACATGTTGAATCTATTGGTTCGGTAGTTTAAAACTACCGAACACCAACTACCCTCCTGGCTCATTAACTTAAAAAGAACCATCTATTAAGCGCTTTCTGTGCGGCCACTGTTCGTATAGCCGAATGCCACATGGAACAGAAAACGGTGGCCATCTTGTTTGCACGAAAGGAGGCAGCGGGACTTGGATGTCGAGTGTCTGGAACTAAAATTGGACACTTGACCTCCCGAACCACCGCTGAAACTACCGAACGCCTGCTTCCTTTATTCACTAAACAGCCAGTACAGCGTTATTCGGTAGTTTTGTTCATACGGACAAGGGGCGCTATCGCTCCTATGAGCCAGGAGGATCCATTCGGGACTTTTATTCATTTTATGCCTTTTTCTGAATTGACCGACCGCACACTCTGAATTCGTGGAACTGTTTTGGGCAGGAGCCTCGTGTGTGTGGTCGGTAACTTGTGACTTCCATACTTTTTTAAGAACCCCTGAACCGATTTGGGTGAACTTTGGATATGTTGGCCCCAGTCTGGGGGACCATCAGGGGATATGTAATTTTGTGGGGATGCCTTGTGTGGAAAGGGGTGTTCTAACTTTTGGGAAAATTGTGTGCCATCTGCCTGGAGATAATTGGGTTATTCCTTAACTTATCTCAATATCTCTCAGGCAGAGAGAGGGCGGGGATTACTGTAAAGCTGTATGTTGATTGGTTATTGTCTTTGTTTACTGTGGGAGGTTCTCTTGCAGGAGGATTTCTCATAAAAGCCAGTGTCATCAATAAAATTGATTCCTGTTACACCCTTCATGACGTCTAGGCTCTTGTTTGGGGAATATTATATTTGCTGGGGAGAATCATCTTGGAAGCTGCAATAATCTACACTATTCCTCTAGCTCCTGCTGCAGTTATCACTTATGTGCCGCTATTGGGGAAGGAATAGAAGACTGCAGTACCATAACCACTGCAGGTCTTAACAGCTTCCTCCTCCTCTTGCACCGCTGCTTCCAACTACACCGCCTCCTCAACCTATGGGTCACTTAGTACAAACTATGTACACAACAGCAGAGGCTTATGAAGGCATTTTCTCCATGCATTAGGAGTTGAGCTCAGTTTGAACAATGAAAGAGAATACTCCATCCCTCTCTCAAATGGATAATTCTGTTGATCCTCCTGACAGCCATGCTTTAGATCATGATTTATGTTCTTCCAAAGCTAAAATCAAAGATTCCATCTAGTGCTATTTTATGGCTCAGCTGTATTTTTAATTTTTGTTATTTTCCCTATTCACATTTGTTTGCAGGGCTCTTTCCCCCATTTTACTTCCTTTTGCAGCCCTCTAGCCCTTTCCATACTTTTTTTTTTTTTTTTAGAGGCATTTTTGTGTCCAAAAGTTTGGGTCCCCATTGACTTCAATGGGGTTCGGGGTCAAGTTCGATCCCGAACCAGGACTTTTTTTCAAATTTCAGCTGAACCCGCCGGTCCTAAACATACAGGTGTCCACTCAACTCTAATCTGTATCCATAACGCCATATATCTGGCAATGTAACCTAGTGGGGCAGAGTGCTGGACACCCCCTAGTTATTTTTCTGGTGGCAAATCCACTCCCAGACACTTGTTTCTAGCTGCAACCTGAAATTGCAATATGCTCTTTAAGAAAGTTTCCATTACAGTTGGGCTGTATTCTAATCTACAGTTTGTCTGTTGCAGTGTGATCCTGGGCAGTGTTCCAAATTTATGTTTTGAGTTGGTTCCATGCATATTGCAAAGTTATGCATTTGATTTCCAAGACCGTTCTGAATTAATCTATTCTAACATTCCAGAATTGTATAATTGCTTCATTGTTTACGTGGATTGATCCTGACCTATTGCTGGATCCTAGTTTGTACCTTCAGCATTGCTGACCTAAAAATCTAATTACTAAAGTCTAAGTGTAAACTTTCATACATTTTTATATCAATATTATACTTAACAAAGGGTGATTCATTGGCATGTACAGTGTGTACCAGGCATGTCCTATTACAACTGAACAGATTTTATGGAATATATTTTGGCCAGATTGACAAACCATGAGAGTTTACATGATCCCTTGCAATAGATATTTGTCATAGCAGTGATCATAGAGTAAGCCCAGCACTCTGCACGTAGAACCTATTATTGTTTTTTTTCTCATAATGTTTACAAGATATGTTAGGACCCGTCAGAATAGATCAGACTTTTTACTCCTAAACTCACTGTGTCAACCTTACCTTTTCCTGTTAGTTTGGAGGGGTCTGTTTGCCAGCCTCCTGCCATGTGACAATGGCCCCTTTGATGTATTGTGTTCAGGGACACTGTTTGTGCCCTCTTCAGCATTTGGAGTTAGCACTTCGAACGTTTGAAGTGGTGGCCATCTTGTTTGAACGTGTTCAGCTGTGTTTTGTCGTAGAGTTCATGGAACTCAAATTGGACACACGACTGCATGAAAACCGCTGAACAGTTACCTTCCAGGGAACTTCGGCAATACGAATGTGAGTCGAATGGCGTTCAGTGAGTCAAAGCCCACGAACAAGGGACATACACAGACTATACCCACGAACGGCTTTGTTCGATAATTCGAATGATACTTTGACTATTGGAACTAGACCGGCTGCACAGCCAAATACTCAAACAGTTTTGGGTGTGAAACCATGGGTGCGGTCGGTCAAAAAGAGACTTCCAGGATTTTCCTGATCCCCTGCTCTGAAATTTTTTTTTTAATTTTTTTTTATTTTTTTTTTGTTATTCACCCAGATCAGGGGATGTGACTATTATTGGAATATGTTGTGTTTTGAGGTATTTATTATACTTAAAAAAAATTTAAAAATTAAAAAATAAATTCTGCCTGGGGATAATTAACTTAATAAATAGAGAGTATATATCAAAACTACATTATAGAAGACCCCAAAAGTGAAGTGGTAGTTAAAGTAAAAATACAACCTGAAAATTGCACGATAGCAAGATACAATCTAAGAAATAAATACATAACACAACATAGTGTAAACTGTAACACAGAAAAATATAAAACAATAGAACTACCACTCACATTTTACAGAGCCGTCCCAGGCTCTGTATAGCAGGCTCAAGGGTGCCAATACAGGCTAGTGAATGAGGGAGTGGAACCCTATAGCAAAACATAGAAA